ACTGGTGCTCAAATCCAAGATGGGAGATGTTTCTGTAATTGTAATTTTTTCTTGAAAATAGGCAGAACTTATATACAGTGAAAAAAATCAGCCAGTTCCAAAAAGTTCACAGTGTAATCTCATAGCAGGCCGTTAGAGAGGTATTAATGGGGCCGTCCTGTAAATGACACGGGGAAGCAGCACTCTGACCCAGGGCACTGACCACCTTGAAATGGCTTCAATGTTCACTTCCCTAAAATGGGGATTATAGTGTTGTTTTAAAGGTGAAATGATATCATGCATAGAAACAGCTATTATTATTAGCACTTGATAATTAGAACCTATTAGTTAATATTGGTGGATAGCCCCAGTGGATGGGGTTTGGCAAAGAATGGAGAAGCCTGATCTCTGCCCCTACAGAGGCTATACCACTGCCTCCTGCCCCCTTGCGGTTTAGGGGAAGGGTGTGGGGACAGAATGGGAGGAGGGCTGTGGCCCTGGTGAGCATGCCCTGGAGGGTGGGACTTCTGATTTGAGCTGGACCATCTCCTGCCCCCGGAAGTCGGAGGTTGAGTTCGGCTGCAACCTGCAGACATTGCTTCTCTGAGAGTCTTGGGATTTGCCAGGTAGACCTGGAAGAACGGCTGAGAAACTCTGAGCCAGGCTGCTTGGGTAAGCACCATCACTGACTAAAGTAGTGAACTGGGTGAGTCACGACCTCCGAGCCTCTGCTTTCTCATCTGTAAAACGGGGACAATCCTGGGAAGTGACCTCAGGGGGTTGTGAAAATTGGATTAAACACAGTCTCATAGTTCCAGGTACTGTGTTAACATGTATGTATCTCAGTGAACTCCCACAGTAATTCTATGATGTAGGGTTGCACAGCTAGTAAGGGGGCAGGTAGGGGAAGGGGCAGCGAAGGAGCATCCGAGAATGCAGAGTTGAACTTCAGGTCACCTCCCTGCCATCAGGATGAGAAAACCGGCTCAGGGAGGGGAAGTAAGTTGCCCAAGGTCACACAGATAGTCTGTATTAGGGCCAGAGCAGCATCCCTTGTCTCCGAGCTGCCATACCTGGGATCTGACACTCCCTCCAAACCCTAGCCGTGCCCCGATGGACACATTAAAGGACGGTGGCTTTGCTGGGCCATCACCTCCAGTAGCAGGACGGCGCCCACACTCCCCGAAAACGGGGGCGCGGGTGTTCCTGAGCGTCCGCCTGTAGAGCTACCCTCGTGCCCCCACCCAGCCGGGGCGAGGGGGCGGCCGTGGGCGGCGGCGGCGTCCCCTGGCGCTGGCCGGCAAGCTTCCCTGTCGCCGCCGCGGCCTCCCTCCTCCTTCCTGGCGGCCGCCGCGCCGTGCGGGTGTTCAGTTTCAGCGCGGGGATGAGTGCAGGCTGCGCCTGGCTCCCCGAGGAAGGAAGGAAGAGAGAGAGGGCTGCAGGGTCCTCGGCCGGGGCCTGGCAGCGCCGTGGAGGGGGCTCGGCTCCGGTCGCCGGGGCTGGGCGCGCGTCGATCCTGCGCTGCCGAAGGGGACGCC